TCCTACGTGTGTATAATTTAAGGACATATACAGGAAAGAGGGATAGGATTACAAAAAATGGTTTTGTACAAGATAGATTGAAAGCTAATTTATACAATTCAATATTTATACTTATCAAAGCTTCCCTTTCCTCCTCTGAAATTAGAGTTTATCAGAATATTGCACTTATAAGTCTATATAATCAGGAGGGCAGCAAATTCAAAGGAATAACCAATATGTGTGTGCTGTCTTTGTGGTTTTTAGCTGAAATGAAAATCATCCTCTTTCTCTTGGCTTAACTGCATGCCCATGTGCAGCATATGGATGATTTTACATATTTGCTCCTCATTAGATTTTTTTCTGTTTGTTTTCGTTGTTGTTGACTTTTTCAGTAACCACTCGTAGAGACTTGCTAAGGAAGTGTCCTAAACTAAACTTAGCAAGTGGCTAGTTCTAAAAATGCTGATTGCACTAATTGCAAAACTCATGCTACTCTTTCTAATAGTTATAAATGCTATTATAAAATGTAAAAGAGGAGGTAGAACATCAACTTTTTAATCACAGAAAGATTTGCTGGTGACTGGAATCAACCCATTTTAAAGTCAAATAGTAGGTAATGATAACCATGCTAATAACAAAAAATAAAAGAAAATAAAAAATAAAGAACATACCTAATGCTAACATAAGATGCAGAAGATTGCTCAGCCTTTTAATAATTTTTTTTTTATTTTGATGAAATTCATTTTAATTGCTGAGCTGTGTAATGTGCACACAGTGTGACATCACCTCTGGGAGTATATAATCGCCATTCATTTTAGAGCAACTGCTTTAAAGTTGAAATGAATAAACACTATAACACCATAGTAAGATGGATACTGTGAATATCTTAATGCATGGTGGAAGTCTACATTTTGAATACAACAACCAAAGAAGCTAAATTTTAGAGAGCTATAATCTTTCCTGTAAGATGTCAATAAGATATGCAGATTATTTTTTTAGTTGTTTGTTTTTTTTTCAATTAGGTAGAAAATCCAAATGTTTTTGTTGATTCTAGGTGTTCCAGAAAGAAACAACTATATTTAGGGACTGTTTTTAGAAGTTTTACTTCAGAATTTGATCCTAAAAAAAAAGTAAATTTAATAAGTATCTAGAAAGTAGAAAATACATTGTTCTCAACTTTCCGTTAAAGTTAAGATGCATTTCATGTCATCTGCATAAGAAAAGGCTTCATTGATTACCTCCAGTCACATCCATTATCAAAAGATAGCTGTAGATTTAATCCCGCAGAAATCACCTGATATCATTGTCTTGTGACAGCTCAATTACTTTATATGAGGGATAATCCCAGATCATCCACTTACAAATGAAAATACAGAAAGGTTCTTGGATGCATGCCATTACCAGTATCACTGTGTTCATTGTGCTTTTTCTTAACCATCCACAAAAACGAACCTCAGTACTTTTATAGGTTGAGTTAATCTGTTTCCCCAGGTTTCTAGTTTGTTTTCCTTTCCAGCACAGTAAAAAAAAAAATGTTATTTATAATAAAGTATATGTATAATCTGCTCTTTCTTTTTCCATTTAACCTAATTTAACAACAATTAGTCCATTCATAAAGATTTAGCTCATTGTTTTGTTAATCTGTTGGCAGGTATAGCTGGATCTGCGTTGTTGCCAAAACACCAACCGATGAACCTAGAGCACTAAACCAAACCCAGGTAAAAGCTGCATGGCATTTAGATACTTTAGATTGAAGGATAAGCCAGCAGGCTGTGAGTATCTTTAATTACACAAGTGAGAGGATTAGAAAGAGAAGGATTTATCTGATGCTCTCTCCCTGTTTTTTTTCTTGGTTTGTTAGTTTGTCTTGTTTTAATGAATGACCGTGTGAACATGACATGTGTGAGTATTGGTTGTTTGGCGTAGCTTGTGTCAGGCCCGCTCTGAGGAATGTGCTGAAGGACTTGATCAGAGTGGCTGAGAGGATCATGCGGTTCTGATACTGTAATAATCATTGTTTTTTCAGTCAGATACATCATGCTTATCACTTCCCAGCTGCTGATCCAATTACATGCTGATTGAAAGGACAACATGACAGAGTGAAACCCTTGTGGCCAGAGAGGGCAGGTTGAGATACGCTATCAGAGGCATAAATGAACGACTTGTTGAGGGGGGGTTTCTAAAAGGATAAACTGTGACTGGAACATTCTCTGGCATTTGAACAGCTGTTTACAAACTTTTTCTGTGATATTCCTGGATGCTCTTGCTCCAGACTAGTACTGACATGGTTGGGAATATTACCAACTTTAACAGAAAAAAAAGATAAGGTCATTTCCACACATCATTCTAAAATCAGTTACAGGGCCGTCAAAATTTTCCATAGCCCACTGAACTTTTTAGTTGTTTACGTTAAAAACATAGACTTTATTGAACTTCTTTTGACTGTCTACCAGAAGAAAAAGCTTATAAATGATGGGATGCATATGTTTTCAACCACCTATACTCTGATACTCGGATATCCAGAACCCCGTTTATTACATAGTCCACGCGTAATTAAGCTATAGGTGAAAATGTAGATTTTCTGCAAGGAGATTTTAGACAGCTTTAATAGACATCCTGCAAGTCCAAGGAACACACAAAACAGGTCAAGCATACAGTTAATGGTATGTTTAAATGAGGATTTGGCAACAAAATAATTGAGAACCATCTGAGAGAGAACATTTCAACCAATAATCTAAGAACAGAAGGAGCATCTTCCAACTGCAAACCGAACCATTGTCAGCCTCCATAACTGAAAAGAAAGGCTATGGAGATCTAGTATCAGAGAAGAGGTGAACAGGCTTCCTCTTAGTAGTTCTGAAAGGGACATCAAGATTCACAACTCAGGTGGGAAAATCTTCTGACAGGAAAATCTTTATTTGAGTACTAATTCAATCTGTTCTTTATCATAAATTTGCAAGTACAAAGAAACTTAACAAAAATGTCATATTTAAAGTGTGCTACAAGTAATATAGCAGACACATCAGTCAATGAGATACCTTTCAACATTTATATTGTGTCTGCAGCACTCCATGTTGCAGAAATGGCTCTACACATTACCTCAAACCTGATGAAGCAAAACATGAGGATGATCAGACAGAATCAGAATCAGACATACTTTAATAAACCCAGAGGGAACTTACTTGATAGCATGGAAGATACATACATAGTGCTAAATACAGAAAATCTGCTACTCTACACCTCAGACTTAGAGGAGGTTTATCCTCCGGAAGCTCAAGAACATAAAACATACAACCAGACAATAATATGGATAAAACAGAGCAGAGATGTTTGTGTTAAAATAACCCAGAATCCAGTGGGGGAATCCAGGGCAAGTCTGGAAAATTAATGCTCACAGATCTTTGTCCAGTCTAACTAAGCTGACTGACTGGTGAAGCTGACTTTTCTGCAAAAGCATGCCGCACTTTGTAGATTTTTTGTTAAAAAACATACAATAAACAAAATCTTATGTAGAACAAACAATCAAAGTATACCAGAATCTATAGTTTGTGAACAGGAAATGTTAAAAGAGGCTATATGAAAAAAACAAAAATCACTCTACATATGTCCATGCAGTACCATTTTATATACCAAGAATAGGAATATTTTGTACTACATCTTAATTATTTCATTTTATGTAGCTGAGTATAGAAACAAGATTACTTTAGGAATACATTTAATTATTTATTGCTTTGTAATTCTTTTCTCATATTTGGACCTACAGGTGGCTAAAACTGCTTTGGAGCATCTGGACATTCTCATAACAGTCATTTAGCTATGCACTGTTGTTATCCAACAAACCGATGCTTTTGGCTCAATAATAAGAGCTATAGGGTCAGTCTCAAAGGCCTACAGTCTATACTTAGAAGTGACAAAAAACAAAATTTGTTAAACCTGCAAGCATTATTCCCAATGTTCATAGTGTCTGTTTTGAGCTCCGCTTTTCTTATTTAGTTATCTGTTTTCCTAAGTGTGATTTTGACATCTGTCATCGTACTTTAACAACCTTTATTATAAACTGGAAAAAAATAATAAGGAAAACTGAGGCGAGTGATGTAATGAAGAGCAGTGAGACACTAGACCTTACATGATGAAGCACACAGAACCCTTTGTAATCACACATTTGTTAATCAAATAAAAATCAGCCCGTTTTTCCGGTACAGTCTGTCCCAAACAGCCTTCACCTTGAGGAATCTGCTACAGTTAACCAGAAGAATAATATACAGTCCAACCACTACCATGTACTAGTGCTTCATCCGATCCATGATTTTCTTTTACGAAAACCCCCTCACGGGAAAACAATGTGCAACACATTCAGATATAATAAAAGTATAAAGAATCTATTGTGAAGTTCCCAAAGGTCTCACTAATGAAATTCTGTGCAAGTGTACAGTAGCCTGCAAAAATAAATGGAGCCTACTCTATACTGATAACCCTGA